AGCAAGCCCGGGCTTGGTCAGCATCCAAACACACTGGCTAGCCAGGTGAAGGAGGATGGCCCTGAGCTCTTAGGGTGAAGAGTTTTTAAAGGGAAAAACCACAAGCAGGGTGGTACAAGCCTTTACATCGTATGATTGGGTGAGGATATGTAACCTTTGAATTTACTGGTTGGGTGTTAGAGTTATCATTTGGGGGCAGGCCTGGACAAGTCCCAGACTTTGTCCTTGAGCTGCCATGGGGGCTGGCTGGCCTCGCACCTTCGCATTGACCCATACACGTAGCTCTAAGTTGGTGAGGGGTCCCAGACAGTAAACAACTGGTTGAACCTTGAACAGTCAGAGTACGTGCAGAAAGGAAGCTACTGCAAGGACTATGTCTTTTGTTCATGGCCCTTCCAGAAAGTGCTTGCTCAAGTCTCAGGAAACTGAAATTGAGGCCTGATCTCTGAGAGAAGACTGAGCAGCCTGTTATGGCATCTACCTGGTCCTTGGTCCTTTCAAAAGGAGTGGGAAACCATGCCCACATAGGAGCCCTTTCTAAGCCCCCTGTTTGCCCTTTTGTGATCCCCAGCTCCTCCAGGTAGCTCTGACTGCTGTGTCTTCAGAGTTAGCATATCCTGTAACCTATGCCCCCTGCACAAACACATATGAGACCCTAAGTAAGACATGTATTTCTGAGGATGTTTAGGTGGAAAGCATGCCAACCTAAGAGGACTTTCAGACTCACATGAGCATACAGATCATCTAGGGATCAGGCCCAAGTGAACAAGTCTGCCCCAGAAAGTCCAAGAGCCTGGGTTCCTATCAAGTCCTTGGTCCAAAGGTCATAGTTGGAAGAGCAAAGGTCTAAAAGGTGCAATTTCAAAATCTGCCTTTTCGTCTAGTCTTCCCACTTCTAAGCTGAGGGGCTCTGGCTGAAGGTCCAGATAACCCTGACCAGCAGAGAATCGTGAAGAAGGGAGAGCAGAGAGGGCAGAGGGCACACCCAGACTGAACAGCTACTCCAGGCTCTCAAGGACTCCCTGCACAACACTGTGAACACAAAATGGCGAGTGGAACACAAGCAGGAAGCTCCGTGTGTATCCTTCTGGTCTGAGCGGTCACAGTTTTCTTCACACCGAGCCTTTGTGAACACTCCAGTGTTTGGCTTTAATTAGCTTACATGATCGACAAATGAAGATTCTCATTTCTACGTTCTTCTCTCAAATCAGCTGTTTGGTAGGTTTAATCTTTTCCATAGCTTGCCCAAGGGAAGAGTCTAATTACCAAAATCAAACAAACATAGAGCACGAAAGATACTACCTTCAGAGCTTAAGCATTTTTAACCAGAGTGAAAGCGGAAGGAATACGCAGCTTGAGGTTGCACTCTGACTCAATAAGCCCGCCACTTGTGGAGGACTTCAGTACCATCCTGAGTTTTTCCCCTCCCGTGTTCCATTCGTAATGGAGTCTCTCCAGAGTTTGCATGAGGATTAACAGCCTCTCCACCATTGACTCGTCTACTGAAGGACACACCTCCTGCATTGGGCTCGGGCCAAATGACTCCTTAATCATGCACCTTAAAATATCCTGATAGAGTATAATGGGCACAGAGGGGACCCAGCAGCTCCCAAGATGGCTGCCTGCTTCAGCATTGTTCTGGTCTGGCCATTTATCCCCAGGCCATGGAAGGTCCAGCCCAGATGTTGCCCTCTGACTTACTTTTTGATAAGCCGTTCAGATTACAAACTATGTTCTCTCAAGAGGCTGAATATCCGAATGTCTTCATGGCCAGGGGGTTGGAGGAAGTGGGGAGTCGTGGGTGATTAGAGTCTAGGGGATAAGGAGGACCTAGATTAACTACTTGCCTCTGGCACTCACATTCACTTTCCTTAAATGGGACATGGTTGAGGTCAACCAGAAACTCAATAGCTAGTGAGCCTACTTTGTACCGTCTGGTTCTTGATTTGAGCATTATAAGTATTTCCAAGGTGAGCTTGGCAGAAATAACAGTGGTGGTGTTTTACATGGTAACAGGAGTATCCTGGGAATCAGAATAGTTCTTTCACAGCACTAGGCATTGTCCTATAGCACCGGGTTTTAACCCTTCAGTGCCCAGATCAAGGGGAAGTCTGAAGGGTCCCAATGGAGGGTCCAGAGCCACAACCTGGTGTTTTCAACACACTGTGAATTCTGAGAATAGTTCCAGGCTTTAACCTGAGAAACATGAACTCACGACCCTGATGTGCCATTTTCCTATCTGTTAGATCATGCTACATAATCTACCAGTTCCATCATCTATGACACAGGTTAATAATACCCACTTTTCAAGATGGTAGTGAAGCTTAATGAACCAAAGTATGGCTTGTTCTTCAAAACCCCAAAAGATGCAGAGTCGGCATGAGTAACAGCAGGGGCTGTTACTGTCATTGAAAGAGTAATTGGAGTCCAGGTGCAGTGGCACCTGCTTGTAAACCTAGGGCTTCGGAGGCTAAGGCATGAGTTCAAGACCTGCCTGGGCTACATGGGGAGACCTTTTCAAAAGAAAGGAGACTGGAGGAAGAGAAAGAGGATGGGAGGAAGGGAGTGAATGAAAACCCTAGTAAGTGGCTATGGGTTGAATGCAGACAACTCACCTCTGCTGTGGCCTTACTTCCTGCAGCAGAATGAAGGAGGGAGCCACAGCGAGGTTGTATTAGTATTGCTGTCATGGCGGCTTTCTCTTGGTGTAGAAGGAAACTGAAGGACCTATGGGGGTGAGGGACTTTGTTTCTGGACCTATAACTATAAGCAAGACCTCCAAGTGTTTGGGTCCCAGGAACTACAGGCCACTTACTCCTGACCATTAAACACCTGCTTTCTGATGTGTAGGCGTTCTTAAAGACACAGACACCATCACAAAGTAGCTTAGCCTCCATGTCCTGAGAGGTGCAGATGGCAAGCATGTGCCTCTTATGTTGTCAATGAGGGCTCGGCTACATATGCATTTCCTCGAGACTGAGTGCTTTGTGCGGACGCATTCTTTAAACCATCTTCTGGGCATGCTTTGGATCTCATGATAGGAGTAATCCCTATTGAGAAGAAGGAAATGTGCAGCCAGTCCTGTGGTAAAGAGAAAATGATGTCTGCCACACACAAAGGCTCAGTCCACTTCTTTGCAGTATCCCAGTCTAATTGGAAGATGGTTTTGGTAAGGAAAGAGTCTGGTTTACAGTTGTTCAGACACTTTCCATTCACCATGAATGGACATAAAGCTGTCTTTATGTGATGTTTAGGAGGCCTTGCCAAGTGTTTTCCTCCTGAGCCTCATATGGACTCACTAATAATTAGGGGGATGTGACTGTTTAAACAGGCTATTTCTTAAACTAACCCCCATCAACAAATTAGCCCTTTTTTGCATTCTTAGGTCAATGTCAGGCTATCTGGAATGTACATTTAAAAATAGTGCTTGGACAAGTGATGCATGCCTGTAAATCCTAGCACCCAGGAAGCTAAAGCAGGAGGGTTATAGCAAACCTGGTCTATATAGTGAGTTTTAGGCCAGCCAGGAATGTACAGTAGCATCTAGGGGAGGGAGAGGGAGAGAGGCAGAAAGAGAGAGGCAGAAAGAGAGAGGAGGGGGAAGAGAGAGAGGAAAGGGAAAAGAAATGGGTGAAAGCCTGAAGTGACAGCCTGTTTAGTGCCCCTTCTAGACATAGGAACTTCACTTGTGTCTCTCCTCCTGGACAGGTCACTGTTTCAGAAAGGCTTCTGGACTAACATCTCCCACACCTACGTTCCTCACCAAGTTTTGCACAATGTTTGTCGGAGGTTTGTTTTTCTTAGAGGAAAGTGAATTAGAAAATTCAAGTGAGGGTCTGGAGAGATGACTCATTAGTTAAGAGCATGGGCTGCATTTCCTGAGGGACTGGGTTCAATTCCCAGCACCCACATGGCAGCTCACAACTGTCTATAACTCCTGTTCAGGGCATCCAACACTTCATACAGACACACACGCAGGCAAAACACCAATGTACATAAAATAAAAATAAATAAATAAATTTGTTTAAAAAGGCTGGAGAGATGGGTCAATGGTTAAGAGCACTGGCTGCTTTTCCAGTGGACCCGGGTTCAATTCCCAGCACCCACATGGCTGCTCACAACTGTCTATAACTCCAGTTTCAGAGGATCCAACACCCTCACACAGACATACATGCAGGCAAAACACAATGCACAGAAATGTAAAAATAAATAAACCATAAGAAAAAAATTCAGGTGTCCACTCCAGTGACAGCGAGGGGAACATCTAACTCCTAGTTGTCCATCTGTTTTCCTTAGGGGCCAAAGCCAACGTTAACATTTCTTGACATACTAAAACTCTCGGCTCTAAGAGCCTTCTCTGATGAGAAGAGCCAAACCTCTAGAAACCGTTCATATTTCATCCTCATAACTGCTAAGTCCTCTTTTCTCAACTCCACAGCAAGGGTCAGAGTCTTCAAGTGGGACTGGACTGGAAGGGTTAAGGTCTGGCCTTAGCACAGATTGTTGGTGCAAGCAGAGTGTTAAAACAGTTTGGAGGTCCACTTTGACCTTGGGGGAAGGGGCTTGACTTGATTTCCCACCGTGTCCTCGTCATGGTGACACACAAGACTTTCAGACCAAAAGTGGAAACCTGGAATCAGCCCCTAGAATTGCTCTGTGAGATTTCTCGTGCCTTCCCACCGCATACCCAAACCTCACAAGACTGGGGTGCAGTGTGACCAGTTTGTCTTCTACGTGTGATGGCAAAGGAAATAACTTCCCATCAGTGCTCCTGAGGGGTCAGGCTGCTCAAAGACTTGGCAGAGCTGACTTCCAACCTGTCAGCCAATCGCTGTATCTCCCTGACGGTGCACTTTTAGAGGTCTTCCCCTACCCCCACCCCCACCACCCCACCCCACCCCCGTGCAAAGTGCTGGAGTGTGATTTGTGCCTCGTCGGCTGTTCCGTGTGCTGTTGGTTCCCAGCCTCTGACGTGCTCTTTTGTCTTCTGTGTGTTGCAGGCAGCATAGTGTACCTCGGGATGATGGTGGGGGCCTTCTTCTGGGGAGGACTGGCAGACAAGGTGGGCAGGAAGCAGTCTCTCCTGATTTGCATGTCTGTCAACGGATTCTTTGCCTTCCTGTCTTCGTTTGTGCAAGGCTACGGCTTCTTTCTCCTCTGTCGTTTGCTTTCTGGATTCGGGTAAGGTTTTTCTCCTTCCTATTTTATAGTAACGTGTTTACTCGCAATTGTACAGTTCCACGCTAAAAGATCTCAGCACCAAGAAAGAAACGGGTAACACGTTTCTTCTATTTTTTTGTGTCAGCCTAAGAAGCCACGAGGTTGATTCTTAGAAGTGTGATTATAGACACTTAAATCCAAGAAGGCACTAAGCACCCATGCTCCTGTGGTGGGTGGTGGTGTGAATTACCTCTAGGGGACTGGTTTTGCTTAAGTTGGGATTCTGCTTGCACAGAAACACATATTCAGAAACACATTTCTTTTGAAGATTTAAGTAAGAAAGAGCTGTACCTACTACAATTGTTCACATTATTTAGGGACTGCTCTTAAATCCAGGATTAGGCTGTCTCAAGCACTGTGGCTTTATTGGTCTAGGTTGCCTCTGTGTGTTTAACTAGGGGGGAAGCCTGCTTTGGGAAACATAATAAGTTTTGTCTGTAAGTTCCTGATTTGGGCAGAGTTAACTAGAATCATGCTACTAGCCACGTGCAGAGGTGTCAACGATGTAGCCGTTTTCTTGAAAGAGACCAAAGCATGCACTTACTCTGGGTCCATAAGTCTAAAAAACACAGCGGCCTGATTATGAGACTATGAGAAATGTGTAGAAATATAAGGAAAAATTTGTAGAAATATAAATTTTGGCCTCCCGATTGACGACTTAGTGATAGTCTTTTCAAGATGTTGTTAGGAACTATAGTTCCTTTTTTTATAAAATAAGGGAGACAGGATTGTGGTGGTATTGTGTTTCCCAAAATATTGTGTACCCTAATAAACTTATCTGGGGTCAGAGAACAGAAAAGCCACTAGATACTTAGGATAGGCAGTGGTAGCACACACCTTTAATCCTAGCATTCCAGAGGCAGAAATCCATCTGTTCAAGGCCACATTGGAAACAGCGAGGCATGGTGACATATGCCTTTAATCCCAAGAAATGAACCTTTCATCCCAGGGAGTGATGGCAAAAACAGAAAGATATATAAGGCGTGAAGACCAGAAACTAGAAGCATTTGGCTGGTTAAGCATTTGGCTGGTTAAGCTTTTAGGTTTTGAGCAGCACAGTTCAGCTGAGAGCCATTCAGATATGAGGACACAGAGGCTTCCAGCCTGAGGAAACAAGATCAGCTGAGAAGTTGGCCAGGTAAGGTTAGCTGTGGCTTGTTCTGTCTCTCTGATCTTCCAGTGTTCACCCCAATACTTGGCTCAGGTATGATTTTATTAATAAGAACTTTTAAGATTCATGCTACACAGGATAGTTTATGAGTTTGAGAACTCATACCACCAGCAGCTATTGATCACAGCCTACAGGGCAGGACACAATTCTGTGTTACAAAGACAGAGAACCTCAGCATGTATTTCTCTTACACACATATTCTCAACTAAAACCAATATTTTTCAGAATATTGTCGGTACATGCTGAGCAGACTCCAAAGGGCTGGAGTCTGCAGATATAGGATGACTGCTCAACATGTTAACTGCCTGAGGGAAGACAGCCATAGGCACTGTAAATGACAGTAGAGCAAGGTGTGGTCACGATGGCCCGAACCTGTAGACATCTAAGTCATGTGGTTCCCAGAAGTGAAATGGAGAACTGTTAAATTCTTATTTATTCTGTATAAGCAAAGATGTTCCATATTGAATGAACAAAACTCTAACTCAAATCATTAAAAACAGGCATGGCTCCTCAGTCAACTTCCAAGGAGGCACTGCTTTACAGACCCAGAACTCCTTGCATAAGGGAGAAGCCAAGTCTCTGTGAGGAAGGACACCACTACATCAGTGAAAGTTAATTGTGAATATTTCTCACAATCTTCCCCAAAGGGGATGACTATGCCTCAAGAAAAACAAAATAAATAAAACACAGGCTTCTCAGAGCTTACTGGACGCTGACTGGATTCCAGTAGACCAAAGTGACATTGCAATCTACCAGTCAGCAGAGGGGCTTTGAGAAGGGAGGTGATCAGTGACGTTTTAGCTTAAGTCTGGCTCACAGTGGGTCAGGAAGTCGCCAGCTCCATCTTGTGCTTGCTAGATTCTAAGGTTCCAGAATATTCCACTGGAAGAGCTATTCCTGGCAGTGGCAGAGTCTCATTGGGCAGCGCATCTGCCCACCTGGTCCATTCATTGCAAACATCACAACATAAAGAGAAGTCCTAGGTCACCGAGAGCCCACACCCTGCATGTTGCAGATTTATAACTGGGAATGGCTATACTCCGTCCCACTAACTTGCAAACATCATAATTAAGTCACCCGCACATTCTAAATCCAAGGCTTGGATGTCTTCCAGTTGTCTTTGCTGTGAATGTCGAAGGGACTGGAGAGAGGTTTGATTTTAGACTGAGATTCGCTGCTGTCTCTAAATAGCCAAATATGCTCCTGGCATGTTCTCATCTCCCTCTCCGGCCCTTCCCCCCAATAGGATCACACTATGAGGATCAGAATGAATAGCCTCCAGGCCCTGATCCTCCTGCCTCAGCATCTCAAGTGCTGGCATAACAGGTGTGTGCTACCATGTTCAGATTTCTGCTTTGTGTTTTCTTTTCACCAAGCCAAGTCTTTGGTGTTTACTCTTAGAAAATAAATGTGTCCAACAGACATAATCTTTGTGACTTCAAATGTTTATTCTGTACAAAGAGAGATTTTCCTACTGAGTACATCAGTGTTTGTTTGGGTGAGGAATAGAATCTCACTAATTGTCCATCTGTCATTTATTTCCTCAAATGAATCTCACACCAAGGCAACACACGTCCCTCTTATCCTTTGTTACAGACAATTAGAAAGCTGGGAAATGGAGTTGGCACCATTAATTCATTTTCATTTGCCCCAGAATTAAATTATTTGTTTCCAGTCACTGTTAATTAAGGGAATGATAATGTGTAGGATGCCAGGCAATGTCAGAATCAGGAGCTGCTCACTGAGGACCTGGCACCGTTGAGCATTATGGTCGGGGGGAGGAGAAGAGCAGCAATCGTGAAAGTCAGAGTTCTTTGTTTCTGTACACTGGAAATGAAAGAAGAATCGTGTCCCCCAGTGTGAGCGGAGCCCAGCCACGCGCACCTCATAGCTGTGAGGTGCTCATTAACTGCCTGGATGACAGGAACACTGTGGTGCAATTCCTTGCCACTAACCAGGATTCTCCCAGGAGCTTTATTTTCACAACAGATTTAAAGAAGTAGACATTCAAAAATATTTTCCCTTAATTAGAAAATCAAAGCCCAGATAGGCTGTTTTTTTCCAAATGGTCTATAGCCCCTGGGTTTTCTGATTTTTCAGTCGGATTCAGAACTATACAGTTTTCTATTCGAAAGTGTTTTCTCCTAAGAAATAATTTACTGACCACATTGAGAGAGTGAAAATTAATTTTAAAAATTTTTTAAAGATTTTTAAAATATGTCTTATTAAATACCTGAATAGTGCTTGCTTTGTGAGAAGCGATGGGTTCCACAATGCAAATTGACTCAGCTGAACCTCACTGGTCCCCATTAGGAAATACTATCATGCTTTATGGTTGTCTATATATCGTAGGTGAGGAGGGGAAGGCACATCAGAGTGTGGTAACTACCCAAGGGCACACCGTGACTGATCTATCCAGGTTTCAAACCAAGGGTGTCCAGCTCCAAAGCTTGTGGTCATAACCGAGCTTGCTGTGTCTCAGACTCAACCAGAAATGACTCTGACTGTGTGTGCCACTGAACCCCAAACATGATGGGTGCTTCTAAATGTTTTAACAGACCAGTTTCAGGAAGATCTCTCACCTCAGAAAACTGAATGGGAAGACATTTCCTGGCATGTGCTTGGATCTTTAATTGAAAAATAATATCAAACCAGACTATACACAGGGGATTAATGTTTTCTTAGAAGATTTGTGTTCAATATGGCAACCAACTGGCCGCAGGTAGCTACCAAATGCCTTACATGTGGCTTACCCAGCTGCAATGCATTTATTATAAGTGCAAAGAGCTAATACTCCCAAATATGAAGACTTGGGGCATGTAAAAAAATACTATCACATGGATAATTTTACAGTTAATATATGTTAAGTAATAATACTTGATAAATGAACATATTAAGATTAACCTTGTTTTTTCCCCTTGTTTTAGTATCTCTTCTAGAAAGTACATAATTATGCACGTGGTTCTGCTCACTCTATTATTTCTTTTGAAAGGCAGTATCTTAGACAGTGCCTTTTACAAGGCTGTCTGATGCAAAGGTTGACCTTTTTAGCAAACCTTATCTCGACGTCTACCCTGTGGTAAAGGTAATGTTGTTCCCAGTGGGAAAGAAATGAAGCAAAATACCTTCCACACTCAGAACATCCCGTGATCACACATTAGCCTCATGCACCCTTTAGAATTCATCCTTAGAGCCTCTGGAGGGTGGAAACATGATTCTGTCTACAGCTCTAGCAAGTGGTGGTCTGCTTCGTGCAGAGCTTGAAGGGGCAAAGGGGGAGATGGAGGCATGGTAGGTGGGTGGGTAAGTAGAGATCTAGAGGGAGCATGAGCAGAAGATGTGACTGATTGTATCTGTGTGCTTTTATAATTTCTCACAGACAATTGTAATAATCACCTCTGTCTTATTCATGGAGCCAGTTAGGTGTTGGGGGGATGCATTCTTCCAACTCTCTCAAGAGCTCTAAGAGCTTCTGTATACAAGACAGTTTCAGCATCCTGATCTGTGGCTGTGCCTTTTCTCCCTGAGGCACCAGGCTGCTTCTGCAAGTGTATATGTATCCACAGATTTAAAGTCTTAGGAGAACCAATCTGACTGTAAACAAGTTAGAAGAGTTGCACTAAAAATTTTTTGTTATCATCTTTTGTTAGCAATGCACAGATCTGCCTAAATCATGTTTACAAATCAATGTTTTCAAATGACCAAGTTTCCTACAAAATACTGTCTTTATAGTTTCCATAGTATTGAGAAAATAACTTCCTGTGTCAAAAACATTCTTTTTTATATTATG